GGTATGACTGACTTCTCCAGGATGACAAGCCAGCATTGGAGAAGAAATTTATTTTGTCACTCCCTACATCTTATAGCCAGGTGTCATCTTGAAGGGGACTTGTTCAAGACTCAGCTACTCTGGGGACTCCAAAACAGAAAACAAATTCAAGCCAGGAAGTTGGGGGTTACCCCAGTGTAGTGCCTGGGTGGGAGACAGCCAGGAGACACAGTTGAGGAGAGAGGGAGGGTCAGGTACAGACCTGCTGAGAAGTTAAGGCAGCAGGAAGCGCAGGCCACGGAGGGTGCGGTAGTCACTGGCCCTCTGTGGTGAGAGCCCCTATCACCTGCAGATCACCATGGAGACTGAGAGCTCAGAGTGAACTGGTGGTTTCTCAATATCTTGGCCTCTGGAGCTGCCTTCCTGACTTGTGTGGTTTGCTGTTGGTTGGGACTAAGAGATCTGAGACCAGCTCCAGCCCCTTCCCTCCAGCCCTGCTGATCTCTTCTGGGATCTTAAGCAGAGGACTCTACTGAATCTTCTTGGACTTCTGACTCACAGAAACTGTGAGATAACAAGTGAGAGTTGTTTTAAGTCACTACATTATGGTCGTGTGCTATGCAGACCATAGTATAGAGCAAGCAGTTCTCAAAGTATGTTCCCTAAAGGTCCCTGAGACCCTTTCAGGGAATCTGTGAGAAAAGAGGTGTTTTCATAATAACATTAAGATGTTATTCACCTTTTTTTCTCACAGTATTGATATTTGCATCTTTGGTACAAAAGTATTGGTAGGTAAAAATGCTGAAATGTTCACTCAGAGAGAGCCATACCACACTGTACCAGGGTTCATTGTATTTTCAGTGTCTACACTTGCAGGATAGAATGTGTAGCTTCACTTAATAGCGTTATTATTGGTTTCTTTTGGTAGTACTTGGGTTTGAACTCAGGGCCTCACACTTGCTAGGCAGGCCCTCATTTAATAATGTTTTTGATGGTACAAGAAAAGCATTAATTTCAGTAAATCTTCACCCTGGAGTCCATATCTTTTTCATATGTTGGGTGATATATTATAAACACCTCTAAAGTGTACTTGCTGATTTCAACCTAAAATGGTTTTGCTGCCAGTTAAAGCACATGGGTCACTGTATTTTGAGCTGAACTAGCTGCTTTTTTCCCCCCACACAAAACCATTCTTTCTCAAAATAAGAAAAAAAAAAGCTTGACAGTTATTCAGATTTGGGCATTTAGGAGATGCTTTCTTGAAAATGAATGAAGTGAACCTGTCATTTAAAGAAAAGCATCTGACAATATTTGTTATTAATGATAACATTTGAGTTTTCTAGCGAAGATTAGAAAATTTGGAAAAGCTGAATCTGCCGCCTTTATTTGACAGATTCTCAATAGTTGAGAAGACTGGTGTGATTTAGCAGTGATACTACACAGTAGTAGGACGTGATTTTGTTGATGTTGTAAAATAAACTATGTAAGCATTTGGGATATTTTACACATCTGAGCAGACCAATATTTTCTAAATGACCAAAGAATGATGTTACAAAATTCTGCGTGGGTAAAGTACCCACTGAAATGCCATGAAAGCCAGGTGTGGTGGATTATACCTGAAATCTTAGGTACTTGAGATGTGGAGGATTGCTATTTCAGGCCGGCTGGTGAGACCCCCATCTCAATGGAAAAAAGCAAACTGGGTGTTGGGGAGCATGCCTGTCATCCCAGCAAAGGTGGAAAGCAAAGTGAGGAGGATCGAGGTCCAGGTCAGCGAGGGCATAAAGCAAGACCTATTTCAAGAATAAACCAGAGCAAAAAGGGCTGAGGGACTGGCTTAAGTAGAGCAGCTGTCCAGAAAGCACGAAACTCTATGTGAAAACCCCAGTATTTCTTCCCAAAGAAAGCGAAGAAAATGCTAGGAAAATGTTACTGGTATAATTTCATATTCACATTAAAGAAACTATTGCTGGTTAAAATTGGATGTGGCAAAAAGAATAATCTCGATTATCTAAAAGAGCTAAAAAATAGTCTTCACCTCTCCAACTGTATGTCCACGTGAGATCAGATTTTCAACGTAACTCCTTCCAAAACTTCATTTTGCCTGTTGACCAACAACTCCTCACCTCCCCGCTCTGTTACCTTCTTACCCTCTCCAGCCTCTGATGACCACTTTTCTACTCTCTACCTCTATCAGATCAGCTATTTTAGATCCCACATATGAGCAAGATTATTCGGTATTTGTCTTTCTGTGCCTGGTTTATTTCACTTTACACAATGTCCTCCAGGTTCACCCACATTGTCTGAGGACAGTTTTGTCTTCAGGGGCTGAAGTACTCTATCACAGACATGATAAACGCTGGGAGGAGTGGAAATGTGTTGCCCCAGTTTGATTAATACATAATGTGCACATTTATTGAAACATCACACGGTACTCCATAAATATGCATTATTATTATGTGCCAATTAAGCAATAAAACTTAAAAAATCATTTCACAACAGGTTGATCAAGAACAAATATGAGAATCTGTCTTTTATTGAGCAAGACACTAAAGGTTTGCAAAATTAAAAGGCAATGCTACTTCTATTTTTTAAATACAGTTTTTAGTAAAATATTTTATTTGTGTTAGCATATAATGGGTCTATTATGATTTTAATAAATATATTACATTTTCTGTTTCAATTTCTATATAACAAATAGCAAAAGTAGACATTAATCACAGAAATAAGATCTCCTTAGGGTCTTCAAGCTTTTTTTTTGGAAGTACTGGAGTGTGAACTCAGAGCCTTGTGCTTGCCAGACAGGTGCTCTACCACTTGAGCCATGCCTCCAGCCTTTTTTGACCTGGTTGTTTTTGGAGATGGGGACTTCCTTTATGCCCCATCTCTAGCCCTTTTTCTTTGTTATTTTTCAGATAGGTTCTCCTGTATTTTCCTAGGACTGTCCGTAGACCACAATCCTCTTACCTATCCCTCTTGTGTAGCTGGGATTGCAATTATGAACCACAGTGCCTGGCTTGTTTGTTGAAATAGAATTTCTACTCCGTTTTGCCCAGAGTCATCTTAAATTTTAATCCTCCTAATCTCTGCCTCCCAAGTAGCTAGGATTAGAGATGTAAACGACTGTGCCCAGCCAAGAATTTTAGTAAGTATATATTTTCTATTGATGTCTGATGCAGAATAGGATATACACAGATATAACTCAGTATTTCCAAATTGGTACTTCAGGGTCAATGTAAACCCAGAGCTATTTTTCACTTAACTGTACAGCTTGGCCCTTGTGTTTTTAAAACTTGTCGAATGTTGAATGTTTTTAAGAGAGATGAAAAGGTTTCATGTGAAACAAAAGACTTTTCAATCACCTTGAAATTTTGGATGGCCTGGCTGTATTGGCCCACATTCTTTCATGAGCCCTGGATCTGTGTAATGGCTGCCCTCTTCTGCACACATGCTCTGCACGTTCCCTTTGTCCTCACCACTCTGCTCCTTGGGTCCCTTTGTTTAAACTGGTTCCTTCTGTGTGATCCACATATCTGGCTCAGCTCCTGGAAGGATCTAGATTTGTAATGTCTGGTCCATAGGGTCTCCTTGATGGCAAGAAGGAGGGAAGAGCAGGTTGTATCCTGAAGTTCTTCTACCACTTCCAGGTGAATGTTGTACATCATAAAACGCCCAAAGCCCACAACAGGAAGCATTATCAAATGAGACAGATGTTTTCAAATCTGGGGCAAAAGTATATTTTAAGGCTAAGTTCTCTCAATTTCCTAACCATAGTAACCTGATGCCTACTATGGCAAGTGAATGAATATACTGTCAAGAAAGTAGCTGAAATGGGAATTCTGCAATGAGTTTGGGGTTAGGAGCTGGAGTGTATATATTCAAATTCTGAGTCTGCCCTTTGACTGTAACAAGTTACCTAAACTATGTCCCAGTCTTCAAAGTGAGAATGATGAGTACTACCTATCTCAACAGGGATGTTAGGAAAATTGGATGAGATAGTACACAACAAGCACTTGGAGCAGAGTCTGGTACAGAGTATCTCCTTGTTGTACACTGGATGTTTGTGCTCCTCCAAAATTCATATATCGAAGCCCTAATACCAAATACAATGTCATTAGAAGGTATTATCTTGAGGGATAGATAATTAGGTAGTGAGGGTGGGGTCCTTGTGATGGGATTAGTGCTCTTATGAGAATAGACCAGAAAGCTTGCTTTTTCTCTCCATCATGGGAGGATAGAGCAAGAAGCTGGCCATTGGTAAGACAGAACACGAGCTCCCGCCAGGAACCAAAGGGCTGGCATCTTGGTCTTGGACTTTCCCAACTCCAGAACTGTGAGAAATAAATTTCTATTGTTTAAGTCATCCACTTTATGGTATTTTGTTACAGCAACTGGAGATAAGAAACCCTTCAATAATTGTTAAATACTATTCTTGTTATTCTTTTTAGTTGAACTTGAGACTATGAAGAGGGAAATAAACCTCCTTAATGTTTTGCCAAGCAAACTGGACTCTGTCCTTACTACCTCATATCACAGATCTCAGGGATTCTGACATGAGTGTAGAGATCCCCAACAAATATTTGAGAATTACACGGTGCATGTATCATGGTGCTTGTGGATATCCACAAACACTTAAACTACCATTCAAATCTACAGTGGATTAGAGATTGATCTTAAAACACATTAACAAGTCTCTTCATTTATTCACTCATTTTATTATTTATCCCTATTCATTAAACATCTATTGAGTACTTACTATGTGTCAAGTACATAGACATGAAAGTTTGTGTCCTGGTTTGGGGCTAGGAACAGCCACCAGACATTTCTGTACTACAGAACCTAAATATTCTAAATATTTTAGAATATTATAAATATCCTAAATATTTGAATGCCTGGCTTGTTAGAAGCAATTATCCACATGTTTCTATGAGACATGGAAGAGCTGTTTCTAAACCAAGACAACCTCACCTGCATGCAATGCATCATTGTTAGGAGAAGAGAAAGAAGACCATAGCTCTTAGGAAAAATTCTGTAAGTACCCAATTTATTCATAAAACAATACAGTTTAAATATTTATGTTTTTTTTCAGTCATACAATTTTTTTACCATCATTCCCAAAATATTATGCACTTAGTTGACATGTATTTGCAAGATTAGGATCTGTAATTATAACTCTGGAAACCATACAAGGCATTTGATTTGCTTATTAATATTGTTCTCCCTCAAACAAACAAAAAACACATTTATTCTACCTTATGATTTACTTTGCCATTTCTTTAAGCAAAAATAAGTTCTAGTTTATGCCTTTTATGCTTACAAAACACTTGTCCATTTCTCTGAAAGAAAATTATACAAGTGAAACATTCATTGTTTTCCTTTCTAGCCAACATATATTCAAGCAAAACACCTCCACCCTAAACAATTCCAGGCATTTCTGCTTACAGAGTTTGCACTCAGGAATGACAAAAGAAGCCCCACCACTAAGCTAAAAGATCAAGTTAGCAGAACAAATACCTAGGGAGCCATGTTTCTTGGGTCCATTTGCCATGGACAAAATTCCACTGTGGTGGTTCCAGTGAAAACTCTTGGAGGTCATTGCTAGAGATTGACATAAAAGTGGAACTATCCATGCAATGTTATGTGATGCTTCCTTTCAGAGAGCAGAAGCAAGCTAAGAGGAGCACTTCCTAGTCTTGTTTAAGGAAGAGGTGTGACTATAAAGCAGTGAGACTGATGTGAGGTGTGCAGCTTCTGGAATCAGTCTCAATACTTTCTATTCTCACCTCTGAGACAGGCGGGACCTTGATGCAATTGGCAGGGAAGAGGTGCCATTCTCAAGCAGAGTAGGAGCTGTCCTGTTTTAGATAGTCTCTATTATATGACACAGTAAAGTTGAGAACCTCACAGGTCTTAGTGCAGTCTAAGGAATACATTAACATCACCTGGAGCCTTGGTAGAGATGCGGAATCTTGAGCTGTATGGAGACTTACTACATTAAAATCTGAATTTTAGCAAGACTCTCAGATAGTCTGTGCTCACAGTTAAAGTGTGAGGGCTACTGGGCTAAATGCCCCGGACCCACTTCCAAAAGACGATCTCTAGGTGGATAGACTTCTTTAGTAGAGAGACCATTATAGCAGGGAGGAATTATAGATAACAACTGGAAAAACAGTGTGAGGTTATTTTTATTATTATTTTAAACATGCAAAATACAGTCCATGCATCTGCCATTTTGAAAGTCTCTCATCCTGTAGCAGATAAAACCAAATATGTTTTGGCTATCAACGTTCAATAAATGTTTCAAAATGCTTTACAGTGTAAAGATAATAAGAAATTTAGCAAAATTCAACAAACCTGTATAAAAAACGGATACATATCCATTTTATTTCAAGGTGACATGCTGTAAAGAGGAAGTTATTATTATTTGTATTTCTCTGTAAAAAGTCTTTAACAATACAAGGGTTTGACAGATCCAGGCCTTGGGTCTACACATGCAAAAAAAAAAAAATGATCAGTTAGTTAAAAATCACCAAAACGTGCTATTTTAAATGTATATTATTAGTTTTGAAGTACAGGAGTAGAAGTATTAAATATTATCAGGAGGAGTATTTCAGAACTCTGTAAAAGTGTGTGGAGTTCATGGTGCTAGAGTCCTGGAAGACTCATACACTTCTGACGAACATTTTGGTTTAATCCCTTTTCCATTGTAATAGTCCACGACTTGGTTTGGGACTTCAGCCAACACACTCTTTGCAAGGGCAGCTGGAGATGCCTGCAAGGGAAAAAAAATTACCATGACTTTGCTTCTAGGTCAAAGGAATATGATCCAGACTCAGCCTCAAGGATTAGAGTCCTGCTCTGAACAGCTGGCCTCCACCCATTCTTTCATTCATTTCATTTCATTTCTCTACTCTATTTTTCCATCTTGGTCTCAAAATATAAAACTATTTACATCTGAAGATGGGTGAAAGTTGGATGGCACAATGAATCATCCTGCAGGTTTGTTTCTGACTTACATTCACCTCTAGACTCCTATTTGCTCTAGGCACTATGCTAGAGTTTCTGGTCTAAGATTGTTGCTATCAGGATGGTTATAATCCTGTCTTGCACAGCCAGATGAGGTAGTACATGCTATGTGCTACAGGTACTACAGACCAGCATCACATTACGTGGGTGTTTACCAGCAATGTAGACTCACAGACCCAATCCAGAGCTCCTGAATCAGAGTCTGCAGTTTAACATGATGCACTGGTGATTTCCAATAATTCACAAACACTGTGAGTCTAAGTTGTCCTGGAGGAAATACAGGAAATGGTATTTAACTCAGGCATATTTTTAAAATGTGGAGAAGGGGTAGGGGAGTAGCATTTGAGTTTGATCATTCTAGGGACAGTTAGTCCACTAATGAGGATGAAGAAAGAATGTATGTGTTGGGGGTGGTATTCGGGATTGGTGGGCATTTGGTTGGACAATGAGCTTTAGGCTATAGCTTTGAATACCACTATAATTAATCGATCCTAATTCTATCAGCATTATGGATCTGGTACCTGACTTGGGGGAGGGGGAATGGGATCACATGATCTACAGTGATGATTCTGCAACAAAGAAAGGTGAAGGTTAATAGAAAGTGTGGACTCTGGAGACATGAGAACTGGATTTCACTCCTGGCTCTGGCATTTAGTACTAATTACACAACCTCTGGGCAGGCAGCTTCAATTGGTGGAATCTCAATATGAGCTATTATGTTGCTTGATCCTTTCCCCCAGTTCTTTTTGCTTTTTTGTTTGTTTATTTCAGGTTGGGCCTTGTGCATTTTACCCAGGCCTTTCTTGGACTTCAATCTTCAACCTATGCCTCCTATGTAGCTAGGATAACAGGTGTATAGCACTATGCCTGGCTTGTTCTTCAAGATAAGGTCTCAATAACTTTTTTTTTGATCCAGTCTGGCCTTGAACTGTAGTCCTCCTATCTCTACCTCCAAGTAGCTGGGATTATAGGCATATACCATCATACTGTTTCTGAAGAGATTGGAAGCTTGCACAGGGTGATCAGTTAACGAGTGCTTGAGATTCCCAAGGAAAAAGAGGGCTGGTCTTAGTGAGTAACAGTATTTATAGTTCTTTCTTTCCTATGTGGCCTGCCACTCAGACATTCAATGTTGCTAAGCCCCAATGTTCTCAGAGGCAAAATAGGAAGAGAAAAAAGACTTCATTCTATCTAATGGAGTCTCAAAATAACAGACATGTATCCTTAAAAAAATCTGAAAGCACTCTGAAGAGTTTTTCTAAAGTGAACCCTCATAGTTTGAAGATGTGGTAGCATGTGGGAAATTTGACCTCCAGATTTTTTTTTTTACCTTATAAATGACTGCTCAGTATTATGTGTTAGACCATGGTCTGTGTGTACATGGGGGCAGATACAAAATCATTCCCAGCCTCTCCCTCCCATCTTTCATATAAAGGTTAGAAAGCCAAACACTTGATCTCCTAGCCTCCCCTACATCTACAGATTGCCATGTGATCTGATTTCACCCATTTTGAGATATAAGTGGAAGTTTCCTAGACAATGTCTCTTGAAACTCTTTTCCTGGTAAGGAGACAGACATGATTGGCTTTACTTCTCTTTCTCTGAACTAGAATATGATTTTTAGAGCTATAGCAGCTATTTTATCATCATAAGAGGCCATTAAAGGAAATCATAAAGGGCTGACCCTGTCACCCAGAAAAGGAACTGCCAGTAGCCATTAGTCCCTAACTGCTAGCTACCTAAGAAAAATACATCTGCTCAATCTTGGCACTGTTGGCATTTGGACTGGTTAATTCTTTGAGTGTGGGACTGTCCTGTATAGTGTACAATTGTTACCAGCATCCTTGACCTCTGCCCACTCAATGCAAGATTACATCACACATTGACCCACATTGGTCATCATCAAAAATGTCTCCAGATGTTGTCAAATGTCTCCTGGGTAGTAATGTTCCCCTGGATAAGAACAATCATTTAATCTACTGTAAAATGGATCTGCAGCCAAAATATTCCTGTAGAGAGTTATCAAATAGACCCCACTTTGATGATGGAAATATTCTGTCTCTGCTGTCTAATATGGATATCACTAGCAACAGACAACTAATGAACCCTTGAAATGTGACTACTGTGAGTGAGGAACTGAGTTTCCAGTTTTACTTAACTCTAATGAATTCAAATGTAAATATCCACATGTGACTAGTGACTACCCTATTGGAAAGCATAGGTCCTAAGTGAGTCTCCCACTCCCTTGCATATCTCTTCTGGTCATAAGCACCTTGGCTGTAGGGACGTGGGTGAGTTGGGAAAAGGTCAAGAATATGAAATTAATTGGTAATAACAATAGTAAAAACTGAACATATTAATTACCTACATGAACCAGGGACTGTGCTAAGCTTCACATAGACTCTATCTTTAATTTTCAATGGATGCAGCATTTCCATAATTTTACAGATGAAAATCTATGGCTTAGAGAGGTTAAATGACTTGCCCAGAGCCACACAGCTTGGAACCTGGACCCTATGGATTTTCAAGCTTTGAGTTATCATTCAGAGCAGAAAAAAGAGGCAACTCATGGGTTACTGGCTTAACGGAGATAATATCAGCTCCTCTCCTTCCCTGTTATTTATGGCTTATTGAATTTTGAGTAGATTAGCTTGGATAATGAAATGGTTTTCAAAATCTAATTTGAAATCTATGAAGATAATGCAGGTGAATATGCTCCTGGCATTCTAACTTAGTCCATCATCCCCAGAGTGGCTGGAGCCCCGAGACTGTGAGCAGCACCCCACTTCCTTGCCCTGCTTGGATCACCTCCCTTGTTGCCAATGTCCTTTAACTCCTGGCTTACCAAGTCTCTGTCCTTCCCCAAATACCCAGCTTAAGCTATAAGGTTTTCCTTGTGGCTATTTCTCTCTGGTCTGAAGTCCTGTAGAAATAATTTACTTCTCAACCACCCATAAGTTGCTTAGCATGTAGGTTTTCTGCTCATATCTTTATTCCAATCATACAATTCTTCAGTAAATTCCTTGAGGCATGCATTTTACTGTGGTCCCAGTACATGTCTTGGACAGCAGGCCCTCTGTGAGTGTTTGGGGAAGAGGAGGAGCCATGGGGTAGAACATTTCATGGCTCATACATTGTTCTTGCACGTGTGTGCAGGTACTTGCATGTGGCAAGCAGGAAGAGGGTGGAGAGTGGTCAGGTCAGTGGTGTGACTACGTCTTTTGCTGGGCTGACAAAAATGAGGCAGGGCATCAAAATCTAGAATATTCTCCCTCTGCCTTGGACACCTTGGGAGGTAACTAGCTTCATTAAGCATAACTACAGCAAATTTGGCCTGCTCTAGCAGTCATTCCTTGTAGAAAATGCGACTTCTTGATTCCAAGACAACTTGAGGGCTTGGTGAGCCTCTTTCATTTAGTGAATAGTTTTGTTATGATCCCTGATCCTTGGGAAAGTGGAAGGTGGGATACAGTAGCACAGTTACCCCTCATCCACATACACTGCCCTGAGGGCTGATGGGGAATTTGGCTCCTGCTGTTGCTATTTGAAAACTCCCTCTGCACTCAACTCTGCAGCCAGGGATTGATTTTCTGCCCCTTTAGTGATTTTAATTACATGCATCCATCCTTAAAAGGAGAACAGTAATTGTCTGAGCAAATCCCATCATTCAAGGAACCCTGGAGTGTGCAGTTCCTTCCCTGTGAGGTCATGCAATCTAGGGCTCAGCTGAGGTTGCCAGGCTGGTGATGTATTTGAATGCTCACTGGAAAGCCTGTCCCAAGAAAACAGCAGAACAAGCTGCATTTCTGGATAGCATATGCTAATGGCTCTACATTGGGACTGTCAGTACCAGTGTGTCTGGGGTCCCAGTGTGAGTCCAAACTGGATTCAGATGTGCCTAGACATATCTGATAAACTGGCTGTGAAGAATGTCAGGGACTCATACGAATGAGAGCCTTTGATGGGAGGAGAAAGGCTTTTCCAAATAAGTATCAGGCATGAGAGCTTGGAGTCTGCACAGCCGCATTCCTTCCTCCCCTTGACCTCAACAGCTGACAGAGCCCCAAGCTGAGAAGAGCTGCTATGGAAGCTAACAAAGGTGTTCCCAGCAGGGGTCCATGAGATGTGGGATCACAGACTTCCTTGCGACAGTGGTTAAGGTGACAGAGGAGACTCTTTTTTTTTTGCAGTACTGGGGTTTGAACTCAGGGCCTACACCTTGAGCCACTCCACCAGCCCTTTTTTATTTATTTATTTATTTTTGAGGTAGGGTCTCATGAACTATTTTGCCCAGGCTGGTTTTGAACTGTGATCCTCCTGATCTCTGCCTCCTGAGTAGCTAGGATTACACGTGTGAGCCACTGGTGCCCGAGTGGAGGAGACTCCTTTGTTTCCCAAGGCTACTGTGGAGCAATTTTAGGATACTGAGGACTTTCATGAGCCCTTCCTGCTGGGGCAGCTTGAATTTAGTCTCCAGCTCCTTGGGAGTAGTGATGATACTATGTGTCCCCACAGCAGAGCAGAAGACAGGGCTCCAGTGAGCAGTAGGGGTGGGGGTCATGCTCTCTCAGGGAGCTTTCGCAAAGGCTATAAACCAAAAGAATTCAGAGGATGATCTGTGGCCATCCACATTACTGACATGGACTCCTAGACAAGGCTGGGAGGCTCAAAGGAGGTGTCTGTCTGGGTGGTGGTAGTTCCATAGGGGTGGAGACTTCTGGGAATTTTAAATGTGTTCCTTTATCCAGGGACTTAATCATTATCTAAAATTTGGAAATACAGAAAAATTGTTACAATTGCAATATCATAATACAGCATTGTTTAACGGGTCTATTTCATCACCAATGGGAAATGTAATATTGCCTTACTACTTATTATTGAAAAGTCCAAGAATGTACAGTTAGATGTTAATTGGTGGAAAACTGACAGGATATAAATGCTTTCTGTCTAGTAGAGAAGGTAATTCAAAGATTATATATATTTTTTCTGCTGTTGGACATCAACCATCTAACTTATCCCATCATTTCCTCCTCACTGACCATATAAAGCTGTTTTACATATTCCTCTGAACTAGCTTGGTCATCTTGCTCATGAGTGAGTTAAATAAGTCTTTGGTGCTGCTTACTGTATATTTATGGAGGGTTTAGGTTTCTAATTTTGAAAACAATCTTTGCCAAAACTAAAACAGACTTATGCTAGGTCACGTAGCTTGACAAACAGGTCCCAAACTGAATTTCAGCTTATCCTTGCTACTTTGGTCAGGTGCCCTTGGGCAGGTAGCAAGTTGTCCAACTCTAAATGTTGACCTTGGGAGCACTAAACATTCTAGGTTATAAGAATGAGGGCAAGCATCAATAAAATTTTGGCATGATTTCTTACTTGTAACTCAACTTATACTCCTTTTTCCAAAGGGTCGTGCTCTACATATCCTTGTTGGAGAGACAGCCAGCCCAAGTAGACATGGCTGTGTTGTTTCAAGAATGGTAGGTCACTAAAAACATTGGTGGACATGAGTCTCTTCTCTCATAGAAAGTGCCCCCATGATGCATATGCTTACGTGTTTGAAGTTCCTGAAGGGCACAAACTGGACAATATCTCGAAGGACAGGCTCTCCTTTGGGTGACCTCAGAATCCCATCATCACCATCCAGCATCTGCATGTCACTGAAGTCAGCATTTCCCACTCCCACGATGATGACAGACATGGGGAGATGGGAGGCATGGACGATGGCCTCTCGGGTGTCAGCCATGTCTGTGATGACACCGTCTGTCAGGATCAGCAGGATGAAGTATTGCTGTGGTCAGATGTCAGGTGATGATGGGGGATGAGGAGGTGGGGGAGACAAGGACAACACAATATTAGTTAGGCACCTGAGTGGGCTTCCTTGCACAGTGACTGCAGCAACGGTGACAACACACATTTTTTGAGTGTCTTGTTGGGTTATGATAAATGGAGTTAAAGGTAGGAACAGTAATTGTATCTTAGTTATAATGATAACTTTATTAACAGTTACAAAGCACAATGTTGTAGAGAGAGGGAGAGACAGGGAGTTAGGAGAACTGGCTTTATTCTGTGGGACCCAAGAAGACCCTTAATGCCTCTGGGTCTACGCTTCTTCATTTCCCAAGTGAGGGGTGGGACAAGGTGATTTCTATGGCTCTCTTCAACTTGAAGATTTTTAAGAGTCTAAAACTGTGCGGTCCAACACAATAGTCACTAGCCCCATGAGAATACCGAGCTCTTGAAATGTTGGTCAGAGCCATGGTAGAACTGAATTTTTAGTTTTAATGAATTTAATTTTAACTTTAAAAATGGATACCCAATTCAGTTATGGGACACCTTTTAAGTATGCTTGGAACAAATCAAGTGCACGAATTGACATTTTCAACTATTAATTTATAGTGTCTGAATAAAGATTAAGTATTTGTGATATCTCAGCACCCAAATTGACACATGTTGAGCATAAAATACACATGGATTTTAAAACTTAATGCAAGAAAAGAATATAAAATATTTCATTGAGTTTTATACGTGTAGATGCTAAAATGACAGCATATTGGCTATTTTGGGTTTTAAGTAAAACACACTATTAAAATAGATTTCCATTTTTTACTTTTTTTAATGTGCCTACTGCACAAATTAAAATTATATCTAGCCAAAGTGCATTCTATATATGTATGAAAATAGCATAATGAAACCCACTAAAACTGTTAAAAAAGGTGGGTTAAGAAAGAGTAATATAGATGGGGTGAGTTTGATCAAAGTACATTATGTGTATGTATTTAAATATCACAATGAAACCTCTGTATACAATTAATTTATGCTAATAAAATTTATTTAAAAATAAAACTGTAACTTGATTCAGATTATATTTCTGTTAGCTTATACTGGTCCAAAGTCCAGTTAGGAGAAAGGGCTGCTGTCTCCCCCTGAAGGTCATGTGCCAGGGTGGCAGCCCTTCTCCAGGCACACATGCAGAAGACCACTGTGCTCCCATGGCTTCCTGCTGTAGGTTCTGCTTAAGTCCTGGCCTACATCTCTCTGACCCCTCTCTACCTGGAGAGGCTGGCTTTGGAGCACAGGGAAGATTTGGGAAGCATGTTAGAGTCTGGTGAAGGAAGTCTTTGTGAAAGTGAGCATCAATGTGTCAGGAGAGACACCTTGATACCCTTTACTGGTGAGAGGAGGGAAGATCAAGGAGATGTTGCTCAAGCCAAACTCAAAAGAACTTCCAAAATAATCTGGCCAATATGCCCAGCATCTGCAGGGAGTAAATGTAAGGAGATTCAAACACTCTGGGGTTGGCGTATAGCTCAGTGGTAGAGTGGTTTCCTAGCATGTGTGAAGTCCTGGGTTTGATCCCAAGCACTGAAAAAATATCTTGCTGTATTTCAAAGGAGAAAGGCTTATCTATATTGTGAAAACATCTCGTTTTGAGAATCATACACTTCACAAGTTGCAAATAGTCTGGCAGTGCTAAAGAATTTCCTCTTTTTTTCTGTAGTCTGAAAAAATGTTTTTAAACAAGAAAATATGAACTGGAGGGAAGTGAAACTTACTATGTGATGAGGATAGTCTCATATTCTGAATGCTTTCCATGTAGTTTCATGGAAAGATCAATTCTGTACTACATGCGTAAACTAACCACCCACCTCTAGTCCCACCTGACTCCTCAATTTGCAAATTCATTCGAGTTATATATTTGCACCCATATTTATGCTTTCTGATTCTAATTTATTCACAAAGAAGTTGTCCTGTAAGTTTCGAGGACTGTTTAAGTAGGATGAAGTAACGGAGAAGCTATGGAGGTACAGAAAGAAAGGACAGAAGGAGGCAGTTTTGGTGGTTTGGGGATGGTAAAAGGGGTACAGAATATACTGGAATCATTATTTACCCTTCCAAGGGTGTAACTTGGCAGGCCAGGGCAGATGCCACATCTGAAAGGAGACAGCTTCTGATTCCTTTGTTCTACACCCTCCCCTCAATCTTGTCTTATCTGATCTTTATAGTTCAGAAGGTGGATTTCCCTTACCTGATCTATGCCTCAAGGAGCAAAAAAACCTGATAGTCACACCACTACATCAAGAAACTTTAATGTTGTAATGGTCTAGAGCAACAGCTGGAAAACTATTTTATGCAAAGGGATGTTAATAAATATTTTATGGATTTTGCAGGCCACAATGGTCTCTGTCATAGCTAGCTAACATCAGTGGCCACTGTTGTGTGAAGACAGCCCTAGACAAGATTTAAAATGAATGGGAGTGGTGTGTTCTAGCAAAACTTCATCTATGGACACTGAAATTTGAATGACATAATTTTCATGTGTCACAGAAATATTATTTTCTTTTGTTTTTTCAACAATTAAAAAACATAGAGACCATTCTTAGCCTGCAAGCTATCGAAAAAACAGGCTGTGGGGTATGGTTGGTGACCCTTCATCTAGAGTAGGGTCTCTTAACATGGATCTATGAACCACTGAAGGATTTCTATGAACTTGCAGCAAATTACATTTTTATCTTCACTAATCTCTGATGGAGATTTATCATTTTTTCAATTATAAGTAGCAAGTTGTACTTAAGATTTAGTTGTCAATAGAAATCACAATATTTTCCTATTATATTACAGTGGCAATAGATATTACTATTATGCCTATTAATGCCTAAACACCACTCAGGAATTACAGAATTATTAGGCTATCTAGTGGTTCTCATAATTTAATATGAAAATAAAAGAACCATTATATTATATTTATAATGCTTCCATGTCACATTTAAAATATTTTGCTAGTTACATTTCAATATAATTGTTTTACTTTTTATTTTATTTTGTGCTCTTAAAAATACTTCTGAGAAGGAGGCCTATGAGTTTTACCAGATGTTAAAGGAGTCTATGGGATAAAAAGATTAAGAACCCCTGGTTCTCAAGAGGTTATCAGGATCCTAGAATCTGATCCTTCCAGGTTTAATGTAGCTGAAGGAAATAAGCTGCAGACTGCTGTACTGAAACCCCGAAGGAAATTTCCAATAAAGCTAGCAGTATGACAGTTGCTTCCAAAGTCAGGTTGGGAAAACATTCATGGATGCATTACAGCCCAAGTTCCTATTTAGATCAGGGGAGGAGGCTTTTGTTTTGCTTCCAGAAGAGTTCCACAAAATCAAGGAGAGAATCCTATAGCAACAACACCCTAGACCAGTTTGCCTAAGAACTTTTAAATTCATGGCATTTAGCAATCTTAATAACAAGAGACCCTGGACCACAGACTGCTCAAATAACAGGAGAAATCTCTGAGGAGAAGCATTTATTCCTGGCCAAGAGTGGGTCCTTTATCTGGCGATCTGTGGATCGGATGCTTCTGTCATACGTTCCCATCTCTTGACCTGTGTTTTCAGAGAAGACCTGTTTGTCCCTAAAGGAGTGAGGGATGGCTAAAACTCATTCTGGCTTATATCAGCCCCAAATCCACACCTAGGTCAATCCTGTTCTCTTTACTCTTGTAGGCCTTGGTACTCCATAGGAGATAAGAGTATCTCTGGGATGCTTTGGGAAGCTCTAGGAATGCCTTAGCTACTCTTGTGAATAAAGAGGGTAAAGGGGAACAAATAAATTTTCACTTTATCTGCTGGCTGAGATCTGGCAAGAATAGTTTTTTTTTTTTTCTTTTTAATTCTATTTTGTATGTTGGGTTTCTGAGGATTCAGTTTGTGATCAGAGGGAGATTCATGAAGAAAAGACTTGTAGGGCTCGTGCACTGCTAGAGAGGTCTGTTTTCATGGCTGAGACTTGGTGGTGGTTTCTCAAGAGAAGTGGAAAGATGAGCAGAGAGGAGCATGGTTTTCTTAGCCTCCATACCTGGGAGAAGCTTGGCCTGCATCAAGCCCTCAGCACCTCTGCTGGAGGAGATCATAGGTTACTAAAGCACCCCTGCCACAGTCTGAAAGGTCAACATGTTCATGTTATTTACCATTCTGAACACATATCCTAGGAAACCTCAGCTTCACAGAGATCAACTGTGCAGGGTTTCAAGGGCCCTTTGTAGTCAAATCACTGGCTAATGATTCAAGAACATAATGTAATGAGCAGAGGAGGTAAGAGAAAATGCACACAGATCAGTCTCACTTGTTTCTCAAGGACAACTCTGATGGATGTTGGGTGGGAGACTGAAAATGTGGCCAACGATGTAAACAAAGGAACATTAAAAAAGTATTAGTCTATAATAAAAATTTGCTTTATACTAATCCACATTCATTAAGTGACACAAGCCTGGGAGAGCTAAAGATGCTACTGAGATGTTAGGATGAGAGTGGAACAAAATGAGGGTGGAACCAAAGGCATGCAGTCACTATCATCCCCTCCAGGAACCTTGGGAATTCTGACTTTTTCCAACAGGAGAGACTTCAAATTATCAGGAAATCAGGAGTACCATATTTTCTAGCATATGGATAATTTGCAATATTTAAGATATGAACTAATTTTACAAAGAAACATTTAAAGCACTTTCATCACATGCATATGAAAAGTAATTTTACTGTGTTTTCATATTCATTCTTTAAGTATTTATTGAGTGTGCACTCTATGTGGCATTGTTTGGTGGAACAGGGATATGCCAGTGAATGCAGTCTTCTCATTGTAGATTGATTTTCCATATAAAAGTACAGGAGACATAAAATACACAAGCAAGCAAATGCATCTAAAGTACTTTAGGTGGAGACAAGTGTTACAAACAAAAGTAGAACTGAGATATGCTGGGAGTGTGTGAGTTAACTATTCTAGATAAAATAACCAGGAACAAATTTCAGAGGAGTTGGTAGATGAGCAGAGACATAATGAAGGTAGAGAATGGACCATGTGGAAATTCAGGGAAAGAGAAACCTTAGCAGAGAACAGAAAGAAAAAAGGCTTGGAGGTGGGAAAATGTTTGGTATATTTGAGAAAAGCAAGAAGGCCAGTGTGGCTGGAATATAGGGTGCAAAAAAAAAAAAGTGATGGGAGTTAAGATCAGAGAGGTAGGCAGGGGATACGTCATATAGAATACAGAAACTTTTAGAACATATTTGGGAATTAGATTTTATTCTAAGCATGGTGAGAAGCCATAGGAGAATTTAGATGAAAAGAATGACATAATGCTAATTATGGTTTTAAAAGATCATTCTGGTTTGTGTGAAGCATAGATTGTAGTCAGACAAAAGATGAAGCAAAGAGTCCATTTAGAAGGTTTTGTTTTAGCCCAGATGAAAACAGTTGGTGAACTAACATAGATAGCACCCATGAAGATAGGAAGAAGGGGATAGGTTTTGAAAATAGAGTGCCACGACTTGCTGATAGATTGGATAACGTATACGGTAGCCAGATTTCAATGTGGCACCCAGTAATCCTCGCTCATAGGATAATATCCTTGGGTATCCTTTCCCATAACTAATTGGCACGGTCTGTGTAACAACAGGATATTGTAGAAATGACGGAAATGACAGTGTGCCACTTCTGAGGCTAAGTCATAAGTGACTTCTGCTTTGCTGCTTCTTAGGTCATGTATGGACCACTCGGGCTGCCATGCCATGAGGTACGTAAGCAGTTCTAGAGTAGTTCATGCATAAAGAACTGAAGCCTCTGGCCTGTTATACGGCAGGCACATGACTGAGCCGTCTTGATTGTAGACCTTTAGTGAGTTTCAGGCCATTCCTCAAAGAACTCCAGTCCTGGACAATACCTTGGCCACAATCTCAAAAGATACCTAAGTCAGAACCACTCAGGTAATCAGTGCCTGAATCTCTGGCCAACAGAAAATGTGTGGGATAACAAGTGTTTATTACTGTTTTAAACTTTTAAGTGTTGAGGCTATTTTATATGCAGCAAAAAGTAACTAATATAGGACATGAAGGAAAGAAAGGAATCTATTTCACAGTTTTGGCCTAAGCAATAAGGTGAATGATAGGATCATTGAGACTGGGAAGACAGAGAAAGGAGGTGATATGAGGGGGACAATAGGAGACCTGATTTAGTTATGCTACATTTGTATGATCAGATATCCAGATGGAAATGTTGACTAAACCAGTGAATGTAAACCTTCAGCGTTCAGGGATAGGTTGTACTGCAGATATACTTTTGGGAATTATAGCACACAAGTGGCATCTGACACCATTGTATGAACAAAATCACCACAGAAAGGTAATAGGTCCAAGGACTAAAGATTTCAGATTTAACTTCAGAAGTAAGAAGGAGAAGGAGGCAGAAAAATATACTGATAGAGTGGTGAGTGAGACAACAGGAAGCCCAGTTTCCACTGGTAGGTACTAGAAGTCAGCTGAGGAGGGTATTTCAAGAGGAATGTGAGTATCTGGATCAAAAGCCACTGATAGGTCAAGATAAAGACATGTTTGAGCATGGGTTTGGTAAGACAGAGGTACTTTTGACTATGACAAGTATATTTTTCAGTGAAATACTGGGGAAGAAAGCTTGATGGGTTAGGGAAGAGGAATTAACAGGAGGAGATATGGATATGGTGAGTACAGGCAACTCTTTTAATGAATTTGCTTTAGAGGGGGGGTAAAGTTAGGGACATCTGCTAAAAGGTAAAGTAGGGTCAAGGGGGAGATTTTAACTTAAACAGGAGATACTATGGAACATATTCTTGCTAATGGGAATGAGTCTTCAGCAAGAAAAACTAGATGATAAGGAGAAGGAGTGGGTCAATGTCTTTGGGAATTGAGAGTGGACATATTCCAGGGCACAAAAGTAAAGGTTGACATTAGGTGGAATTGTGGTCCTCAATCCTGTCTAACATGAGGGAAGGCTAAGAACATCAAGTAGGTTGGATAATTTAATGTAAGTAGATGAGGGAATAGAGTACTACTTTTCTTTATGTAAATGTACTATCTAGGTTCCAGGATCAAATTATGCAGAGAATTTCAGACATCATAATATTTTTGCTCAACTTGAAAAAAGTCATATAGCTAAAAAGAAATGTATTTCTACCACTAAATATAATACATCAGACAGTTATCATGGTAATGTATTTACTTTAAAAATATTAGGGAAAAGGTTCCAACTCTTTTTGGTCTTTTACGCTTAGTTTGTATTTTCTCATAAAAAAGAATCAGAAACAAATCTTTTCTGTGATTCTGTGATGTTTTACATTGTTGTATTTTATCTCCAGGAGGTAGAATTATCCATTATTTTATTTCTGTGGTGTGTCACTTCCACCTGTAGTATGGGGACATTGGAAAAGATGCTTATTTGGGGGCTTCATTTTTTTCCAGAGACAGGGTATGAGTGCAACATACCTCAGTGAATACAGTAGCTTCCATTGTTAAGTGTCAGCTCTAAGTCTCACATCCCAGCAGGAGTGGGCTTGATTTTCTCAATTTTTCAGATAAGGAAATTGAAGCTAGGGGAAGGTTAAGCCATTTTTCCAAAACCACATGGGTAGGAAATCTGGGGTTTATTGTCAGACTGGGAAGGGTGTCGTGGTGAGGAAGGGTAAACTCCCAGTAACAGGTGACCTGCCCTTCTCCTTACCGATGCCTCCTTGGTATTAGTCTCCTCTGATGCTGACTTGGCAACCTTCTGAATGATGGGAGCGATGTTGGTGGGACCATAGAGCTGGAGCTTAGGAAGACAGCTCTGATAAGCTTCCACAACTCCTTGAATTCCTAAGGTGAAATTGGCAAAGATCAACAGTTCCACAATCTCTTTGAATATATTTACAATTCAACATGCACAAAAATAAAATTACTTTCTCCAAAGAGTCCATTAAGAGTCCTTAAAAACATTATTTATGTTTTTAAGATAAATAAAGAAGACTACATTCTTACACTGCTGCCTGTTCCCCAACTGGAGTCATTCTCCTCTTTAAAGTCTCAAGTCAAAAGCAACCATTTTCACAAACTTTGCTCTGATAGCAAAGATTTTATTGGATCCTCATGGTATAATGAAATAGATGTTATATCCATTTTATAACTGAAGAGAGGCTTACAGAGACTAAACAATCTGTCCCAGGTGACATAGAAAATGAGTTGGAGACTTGGGACTAGTCCTAGGTCTGTATGACTCTAAGAGCCAATAAGGAAATTGGCTTCAATGATACTATAGTTTCACACTACCTTATTGACTTTGTAGTATCTACCTAAGCCACCTATAAGACTTACGTGTACATATGACCACTTCTCCAGATGTTATACTCCTTATATGAAAGAATCATGATTTACTCATTTTTATATTACCCAAAAGAGCTTAACACAGTGTTGAGCACAAAACAAATGCTCACCAAGTGCATGGCAAATGAGCAAAATGGTGGATATACTTATCTATGGAGACTGTGACATAGATGGGTGATGTCCATCATTATGGTCAACCTCTCATTTAAAAGGGAGTGTCCATCCTGAGGCCACATGAAGCAACCCTGCCTATGCAGCTTCTCCATACATGATGAGTACTGATGAGTTTCAACGTGATTGAGTGTCCTGCTATAATCCTGATCACAATAGCAAGAGTACCATTACAAATCATTTTTCTTCAAATGGTTCCTCTTGGTGAGTGGACCTGTGTTACTTCTTTCTTCCTATTTCAGCTCATCCTCCAATCCCTTCTATCTTGCTCCTGATTTTGGCCAGGGATCTATACAAGCCACTCTTGAGATTGTTCTCCAGTGCCACCATGCACTGCAAATCAGCTCTTGGTATTTTTGATGAGAAAGCTCTGTTCTGTTCTACCTTACACACGTTTCTGACTTCACTGTAAATGCCCCACATACTTTGCCCCTCTCAAAGTACAAATGCCTACAGTTTCATATGCCTGCAGATGTCAAATCATTATACAGTCAGGTTCTGAAGTTAAGTGATGCTGGATGGAAGCTCCTTATCTTTTTCAGTTCTTAAGTTTTTGCTTAAGATAAGCAAGTATGATTTCCCCTTTAAAAACATCAGGCAAATGAATTCAAAGAGTGTGAAATGGTAAATATTAGATTATGTATTCATTCTGCTTTGGATGAAAATCCCTCTTATACTTAAAGAATGAGTGTGGTTGGGGAAGGGGGACTCTAAACCATAATAAACTATGGGTGATGGATCAGAGGAGAGAATGATGGCAGAATGGGGATCCATCATAGAGGTTACTATGTTCAGACCCAATGATATTGATATATTCTTGGATGCTCAGTGTCAAGTTTGTGAAAGAAATTGCAGAATCTTCTGCATACTCTACCAGATCTGAATTAACTCTGGTACAGCCCCCTTCCTCCTTGACAAGGAGGAGGAGGAAAATATGGACATGTTTACTTTAAAAATGTCTTAGGATTTTCATAGTGACCAATGCACTCAACTCTATTTTCTACTGAGAAAACAGGAAAAATAATTCTAGGACAAGATTTATCATTGTAATTATCTTCATTGTTTCAGCATCATTTTGTGGACTCATGTTGGGAAACTTCTGGCCGAAAATAATGAAACATGGACCAGACCAAGCCTTGAGAAAGCTCTTTCTTGCACAAAGTCATAGAGGTACTTGGTCAAAATCACTGAGGTCACATACTTTGCTGTCATGCTGAAAGTGAAAGTGGTTTCCTTATTTCTCCCTCTCTTTATACCTGCAGAGAGGAAGGTGTCAAAAATGAATACTTGATGAAAACTTGGAAAGCAGAAAGAGGATTATTTTATCATTCATCAGTTGAAATTCCTTTTTCTTTTTTTTGGCTAGTGGAATCCAGGATTGAGACCAATATACTTGCAATAAGCTTAAGATCCCTTCTGCATTCTTTTTTCCAACACTTATTCTTCTGCTCTGTTATTGTGGCTCTCTGCTGACTTTGGAGTAGCATGGTTTATTTGGATCCAGAAAGTCTCCTTCTCTGCTGTGGGCAGTCATAACAGATATGCTGCATTGGTGGAGAAAAACTAAGATGGGAAAAGTGCAAATGGAAAGGCTAGAAGATGCTAGCTTTTATACTGTGATTTACCTGCACATTCAGGATTGTCTTCATTAAAGTTGATTGCAAAGTCATGAGAGACCTAGACACCAATTAAAATTTAAAAAAGGGAGAAAGGAGAATTACAACTTTAATCCAGCAAGCAGGCACTAGGGTTTGGAGTTTGCAAACAAATGTTGTTACATTCATTATGTGTTAAGCAGCAGGAACCATTTTAAGCTCTTACACAATCAATCTGAGATGGAGGGTGAATTCTGAGCTCCCTGTAGAGTTGAGGTGACAGGAAGATTTTCTAGAATCAGATAAATGCTGGCAGGAGGGGAAAATAAAGCATATAAGAAATCCAAGAAAAGACTTCAGAAAAGAATATCACTCCAAATAATTTCTACATAGAACTGGCTACAGAGTGGAGTCTTAGATTTGGGTGAGCTCTATTTGGATCTGGTGATTTAAAAAATGATAACTCAATCACCCAAGCTATCTGTTCCACATGGTATTCTTATAGAGGCTCCAGCTAAACCGTTGACATTTAAGCCTCATTCTAATGTGGTATACAGAACTCCAGGGCAGGAAAACTTTTGCATACATCCTGGTAAAATATACTGCATTCTGTTTTTGAAAACCTAATATAAAGAGATATGCCCTATAATCTTCCAACACAAATCTCTCTACCTGGCAGGATCTATGAATAAGGTCAAATAATATTGTTTACTTTTTTTTTTCTTTCAAAAAACTTAATAAAAGAAATGGAATGTTCTGGCATCTGGGCACCTTTTATTGAATCATTTGGAGAATTACATTTTAGAGGCTATTTATGAGTACTGGCTCCCTCGGGTGATATAAATAGGCCACTATGTTGAAAGATACCTCTTTCTTAGTGGAAGGTCATAGGTAATGTGGTTGGTGCTTGTCTTGTATTCCTTTACTCTTAGCACTTTCAGGAAAGTCAGCTGAGTTCCAGCCATTTTTCCTGTTTTATTTACCTTAGATTTCTTCTGGTCTCCAGAGCTTGCCTTGTCCACCTAAGTGACAGACTACAAGTGTTGGGGGAAATGTCCCTTAGCAACAACACTTGACAGAAGATGATACATAAATACCCAAGCTCCCTTATCTCTTGGGGTCTGTGTGTGGTCCATGTCATGTTCCAGGGCACCCCAGCAGGATTAAGTGCCAGCTGCCCACAGTGGTAACTGGTTTGATGAAAAACCCTATATTGACTTTCTTCTTTTTTTCTCTCTTTGTTGAGATTCCTTCCACCTCTCAAATGCTTGCATCCAAATCCTTACCCCAAGTCTGTTCCTGGGGAAGTACAAACTAAGACAGGGTGCTTTTATCTCAGTTTTAACACAGAATCAGAGTCTGTCCTAAAGAAGTAAGTCATGGAAGCCTTGTGAACTCTCTAGGGGACACCTTAGCTGCTCACATCATTAGGGTAGAAATGGAGTATTTGAATGGCTTTTGGGGGTTATAAATGGAGAAACATTAGAAATTGGAGATACCTGTTGGGACAACAGGAAGAGCAAGTTAGCTGACAGACAGGATATTCAGAAAAAGAAGGGCTGGAACAAGGTGTGTTACACACTTGACAGTCCTGCTGAATCAAGTTAATGCTACCTGACATGGGTGTGTTAGAGGAAGCTCAACAATCACTCTCTTAGCTGTTGAGGTGTATTATGGTTTGGATATGAACTGCCCCACAAAAGGATGATGTATTGAAACCTGAACCCTAGCTGATGGAGTCAATCATTGAAAGGTGACTGGATCATGAAGTCTCTAACCTAATCAATGGACTAACCCATGGATGGAGTCATAATTTGATGGCATTATTTGGAGGAAGTGAGAGGTAGTCCTGATCAGAGAAAATAGGTCACTGGGGGCATGTCTTTGAAGGGTATCTTGTTCCTGGACCCTTACTCTCTCTGCTTCCCAACCACCATGATGCAAGCAGCTCTGCTCCACTATACCCTCTTTGCCACATGTCACCACAGGCCCACAGCAATGGGACCAAGTGACCACCATGGATTGAAACTTCTAAAGCTGTGAGCCAAAAATATATCTTTCTGCCTTTCAAGTTGTTCCTGTCAGGTATTTGTCACAGTGATGAAAAGTATGAGTAATATAAGATGCACACCAGTTTTGAGGCTCAGCAGTTCTGTGAAGTAGGTGGGTACCTGCCTACCTGCCCACATTCTGGAACTGATACTCTCATATGAAGGGGATTGTATCTCCTCAGCTGTGGCTAATTCTTATAGAGGTCAGCTGTTAAGTTTAGTGTTGCTGGAACTTTCAGTTTTTCAGAAGCCAGAGAGCTGTCATTTTATATAAAATTACCTAATTCCCTAATAAACAAGCATGTCAACTATGCTTTGTGGCCTGAATAATGTCTATAGGCTACCAATGAACAACTTCTATTCTACATTCTTCTTTTCTACATTCTTTACTTCTAACAAATGCTTCTAGGATTCTGTAGTTATGCCTAGCAGGGAGGCCATACAGTGTGGAATACAAAACAAGAAGGAGGACAGGTCAAGGACATATGCCACTCCATTTACTGCTCACACAGAAGTCACAGGGAGATGGACTATTTAAGAAAGGACACAGAATGGGAAGGCCTTTGGTCTGACAGCTCTGGTGAAGTAGAAAATGTTGACCTTTGCTCCTGCCCTGTGGCTCAGACACAGTCAGTAATAAAGATACTGATGAATGGGCAATGCTACTTGCTCATCACTTGGAGCTCAGCAGTATTAGTGAGGTGGAAGCTGGGACAGGATGCCTGCTGCCTCTTGGAGGTCCTGCCTGCCTAGTAGAGATGAATTATTGCGGAGTGTCCCACAAGAGCATTTGGTAGACCAGGATGCCTTAACTCCTTGCTAGTACATACATTTCTATGCATAATCTTTGCCTTCTTTGTGTCTTGAGAAATCATTTAAAACCATATAGAATTTCAATGTTTTCATGGGAAACTTCAGCTTTTTAATTCTCTAAGCCATAATGCTCCTTTCTTCAGTGCTTCCCCATGTCTCAATACAAGACTGGCACTCAGAGACTTGGAATGAGGGAGTCTGGAGACTTTGTCATCATGACCTTTCACAATTGACACTGTCAATAGGATTTTCCCTAGTGAGAGCTGAATGGATTGGTTTTGAGCTCCTGGAGGTAGACATTTTGAGTGCTTTCTCAGTCTCCAATCATATCTATAGGGAGTCAAACAATGGAAACCTTCAATTGAACTTTTAGGAGATTCACCAAAAAAAACCAAAAAAAACAAAAACAGTAATTGGATTTCATCACAGAGAGGATCTGAAGAGCTAATTTTACTGGTTCTAAAGATCATTTCTGATTCTCTAGGTCTACTACTAGACTTACTTCAAGAACCAAAGGAGTGGAACTGCTGCATAGGAGTTCCAAATTACCCTGGGACTAGAGCAAAGTCAAAGATCCCATCTCTATTCACTCACCGTGTACTCTGGGGGTATCCTGGCACCAAACCCAAAGGCTGGGAACATTTTGTCACTGAAATTAAAAAAAAAAAAGAAGTTGTGAGAGTCATTGGAGGTCTTCTGTTGCCTACCACATTATCCCACATTTGCCATGGGTCTGCTTGCTGGGAGAGTTCTCAGGCTACACAGCTCCAGCAGCTGTGTGAAATCTTCTGACTTCAGGACCATAGGGAGGTCACCAGGATCGTCAGAAGCGGAAATGGGTGCTATCCACTACTGAACCTTCAGTGCCTTCACATCATTGCCTGGTTTGAAAGATAATGCCTAAGGATCCAAAATGGCAGCTGGGACACAGATGCAGACTGGATGAACTCCGTGAAGCAGGGACCTTTATGAGACCCTGGAGATACACTTGACTGAGGTAAAGCACCAGGGAAAGCTGAAACTTCAGCACCCTTAACCCCTAGCCCATGGAAAGCTTCTCCACACCATGATACACTGAAAGACAGGTGGGCCACCACCCCCATGCTGCTGCCACCCGCCCACCAGGCTACCTCCCACTGGGGCCTCCACCCTGCAGACCCACCAGGTCACTGCCCACCAGCCTGCTGGCCACTGCCCACCTGCTGGCCTGCTGGCACACTGGCCACCAACCTGCCCACCCACTGACCCAGCAGCTGCTGCTACCTGCCTGCTGGCCCACCAGATGCCAGCTCCAAACGTGCTTGAGAGACCTTCAGCAAACCAAACAGAATACTTTTCTACTGGAGCCACATTTGGCAAAAAAAAAAAACCCCAAAAAACTCAAAAGAAGAAACAAAACTCTGAAACCCTGAACCCCAAGTCCGTAAAAAGCTTCTCTATGACACGTTGCACTGAGAAAACAGGAGGGCTCCAGCACCTCCAGATGATAGCTCCAACCTGCCTAGGAGACACAGACAAACAGGACTGGATGCTAAAGGAATAACACCAGAACTACTGAGACTGAAATTCTACTGTTCTTGAACTGGGAATTTTTTTTCTTTCCTTTAAGTGTTTGTTTGTCTTGTTCACTGTTTTATTGTCCACCATCTCTCCCTATTGATTTCTTGGTTCTCCATTTTTTTTCTTTTTCTCTTCTTTCTTGGTTTTATTAGTTTTACTATTGTAAGTTAGCTAATACTAAATTACACATCGACCAGGGACAGAAACAGTACCAAGTGGAATGATGGGAAAATGAAAAAGGGATGGAAAACATTCTCCCCCCCAAAATAAATTAGTATGGGATTCAGAGGGAAATATGGATACCCAGATCCAAACTTCAACAAAACAAAGATAAACTGTACCAAGGAACCCAATGAAGCCCACAAGAACATCCTCAAAAAAGAACTTCTGCAAGTAATCAATGAGAATTTCATGGAGCTATTATTAGTCATGGTAAACCAAAATGTACAGGAGGCACTCAAGAAATTCCAAGACAACAAAAATAAAGATTATGAGAAAACACAAAAACAAATAAATGAACTCATAGGAGCCAAAGTGAAACAGAAGACACCATAAATAGAGAGATAAATGAATTAAGGATGAAAAATGACAATATTAAAGAGGAAGTGACCCATGATATGCAAAACCTCAGAAAAAAGAATGAAACACAAATACAAAACAAAATGGAAGGCCACTCCAGCAGACTAAAACAAGCAGAGACAGACTCTCAGAACTTGAAGATGAAATAGAAATTAAAAGAAAAACGGAAGAACTATTAGTCAGATAACTCAGGATCTGCGAAAGGAATATGCAAGAACTCACTGACTCCATCAAAAGACCAAACCTGAGAATCATGGCCACTGAAGAAGAAGAGGTGCAAGCAAAAGGAATTTGTAATATATTCAACGAAATAATAACAGAAAATTTCCCAAATCTAGAGAAAACTGCCCATTCAGGTACAGGAAGCCTCTAGGACACCAAACAGACCTGACCAAAATAGAACTACCCCACGACATATTATTAAAACAACAAGCACAAAGAATAGAGGAAGAATATTGAAGTCTGTAAGAGAGAAAAAACAAATAACATACAAAGGTAAACCCATCAAAGTCACAGCAGATTTCTCAATGGAAATCTTAAAAGCAAGAAGAGCATGGAGTGAGGTCTTCTGGGCACTGAATGAAAATAACTTCAACCCTAAGATACTCTACCCAGCAAAACTATCATTCAAAATAGATGGAACAATAAAAGTCTTCCACGATAAGCAGAAACTAAAACAATTTATGACCACCAAGCCACTAATACAAAAGATTCTTCAAGGAATTCTGCACACAGAAAATGAAAGCAAACAAAACCATCAGAGCACTGGCAGTACCAAACCACAGGAGAAGGAAAGACAAGGAAACACAGTAACATTGATTCAGCTGCACACAATCAAACCCTTAAATAACAAAAACAACTAAATGACAGGAATCACCACATACCTATCAATACTAACACTGAATGTTAATGGACTTAATTTCCCCATCAAAAGACACCGCTTGGGAAACTGGATTAAAAAGGAAGATCCAACAATCTGCTGCCTACAGGAGACCCACCTCATCGACAGAAATAAGCACTAGCTGAGAGTGAAAGGCTGGAAGAAGATTTACCAAAACATTGGCCCATAAAAACAGGCAGGAATAGCAACACTTATCTCTGACAAAGTAGACTTCAAACTTACGTTGATCAAATGAGATAAAGAAGGACACTCTATACTAATAAAAGGGGAAATAGACCAAAAGGAAATAACAATTTTCAACCTATATGCACCCAACATCAACGCACCCAATTTCATCAAACATACTCTGAAGGGCCTAAAAGTGTATATAGACTCCAACACAGTGGTAATGGGAGACTTTAATACCACCCCCCATTACCAATAGATAGGTCATCTAAACAAAATAATCAATAAAGAAATTCTAGAACTAAATTGCATCATAGATCAAATGGACTTAGCTGATGGCTACAGAATATTTCATCCAACTTCTGCACAACATACATTCTTCTCAGCAGCTCTGGAACCTTCTCCAAAATTGATCATATCTTAGGGCACAAAGCAAGCCTCAGCAAATATAAGAACATAGAAATAATCCCATGCAATCTATCTGATCACAATGCACTAAAACTAGAAATCAACAACAAAAACAATAGAAAAAAACATGCAAACAATTGGAAGCTGAACAACACATTGCTCAATGATCAATGGGTCATTGATGAAATAAAAGAGGAAATTAAAAGTTTCCTGGAAGTTAATGAAAATGAAAACATGACATACTGGAACCTATGGGAAAGAGCAAAGGCAGTCCTAAGAGGAAAGTTTATAGCCATGAGTGCATATATTAAAAGATCAGAAAGACCTCAAATCAATGACCTAATGCTGCATCCAAAACTCCTAGAAAAATAAGAACAAGCAAATCCCAAAACAAGCAGAAGGAGAGAAATAATAAAAATAAGGGCTGACACCTGCACACCCATGTTTATTGCAGCACTATTCACAATAGCCAAGTTATGGAAACAGCCAAGATGCCCCACTACTGATGAATGGATTAAGAAAATGTGGTATTTATACACAGTGGAATTTTATGCAGCTATGAAGAAGAATGAAATGTTATCATTTGCTGGTAAATGGATGGAATTGGAGAACATCATTCTGAGTGAGGTTAGCCTGGCCCAAAAGACCAAAAATCATATGTTCTCCCTCATATGCGGACATTAGATCAAGAGCAAACACAACAAGGGGATTGGACTTTGAGCACATGATAAAATCGAGAGCACACAAGGGAGGGGTGAGGATAGGTAAGACACCTAAAAAACTAGCTAGCATTTGTTGCCCTTAACGCAGAGAAACTAAAGCAGATACCTTAAAAGCAACTGAGGCCAATAGGAAAAGGGGACCAGGAACTAGAGAAAAGGTTAGATCAAAAAGAATTAACCGAGAAGGTAACACCCACGCACAGGAAATCAATGTGAGTCAATGCCCTGTATAGCTATCCTTATCTCAACCAGCAAAAACCCTTGTTCCTTCCTACTATTGCTTATACTCTCTCTTCAACAAAATTAGAGATAAGGGCAAAATAGTTTCTGCCGGGTATTGAGGGGGTGGGGGGGAGAGGGAGGGGGGAGAGTGGGTGGTAAGGGAGGGGGAGGGGGCAGGGGGGAGAAATGACCCAAGCATTGTATGCACATATGAATAATAAAACAATAAAAAAAAACACCTAAAAAAATAAAAAATAAAACTAAAAATAAGGGCTGAAATCAATGAAATAGAAACAAACAAAAAAAAACCAAAGAATCAATGAAACAAAAAGCTGGTTCTTTGAAAAATTAAGTAAGATTGACATACCCCTGGCAAATCTGACTAAAATGAGGAGAGAAAAAACCCAAATCAGTAAAATCAGAAATGCAAAAGGGGAGATAACAACAAAAACCACGGAAATCCAGGAAATCATCAGAGACTACTTTGAGAAACTATATTCAAATAAATTTGAAAATCTTAAAGAAATGGACAGATTTCTAGATACATATGATCATCCAAAACTGAACCAAGGGGAAATTAATCACCTAAATAGATCTATAACACAAAATGAAATTGAAGCAGCAACAAAGAGTCTCCCAAAAAAGAAAAGTCCAGGACCTGATGGATTCTCTGCTGAATTCTATCAGACCTTTAAAGAAGAACTGATACCAACCCTCCTTAAACTGATCCATGAAATAGAAAGGGAAGGAAAACTGCCTAACACATTTTATAGGGCCAATATAACTCTCATCCCAAAACCAGACAAAGACACCTCCAAAAGGAGAACTATTAGGCCAATTTCCTTAATGAACATCAATGCAAAAATCCTTGATAAAATAATGGCAAAATGAATCCAACAACACATCAGAAAGATCATTCACCATGACCAAGTCAGCTTCATCCCAGGAATGCAGGAGTGGTTCAAAATATGAAAATCAATGAATGTAATACAGAGCATTAATAGAAGCAAAGACAAAAACCACTTGATCATCTCAATAGATGCAGAAAAAGCCTTCAACAAGATCCAACGCCAATTCATGATAAAAGCTCTA